TTCCCTGAAACAAGTGATTCAAAGCTTCTTGAGGTAACTGATATCGATTTATGGTACATAGTTTATAAATAATAAGCTACCTCTGTCACTTTGTTGATCAGCGATTGAAGGGAGTTTTTATATCTTTTTATAGGACCTTGCAGCCACTCCATGCAAGGCACAGTTAAAGGCCTTCAGTCCAAAAGAGAACGCAGCCCGACCAGGAACCATGCTGATGGCGCGCACATCCCAGAAACACCCCATTTCTCTTATGCCTCGAACAGGTCAGTCACCCCCAACCAGAGACCCTGGCCCAAGGCAACTGGAAGGACGCCAGCAGGCACCATTAAGCCAGGAGATCTGCAAGCTGCAAAATGAACTTGAAGTGTATATTCAGAAAATAGAAGAGCTAGCCAACAGAGGTAACCCACAAACATAGTGTGCTACAGCAGTTCTGGTCTTGCTATTTGAATATATGATTTAATGTACAGCTTAGCTTGCAAAGGTTATCACAGTTTTGGTACCTGCTACACTTGGCACATTTCTAATATTGGCTTAAACTACCTGCAGACTGATGAAAAATAATGCTAATTTAACAACAGGGCAGAAAATAGAGGAACCACTTGAGCCTGAAGAACAAAATAAGTTGGAAATGCGTAGACAGAAGCATGCGGCCCGCTCAGCACGTAGCATCTATACTCTCCAGCAACAGGTGTTTATATTTCTAATACATACATCATATAGTTCACTGATTTTTTTAGTTTGCATTTTATTTATAAACAGTCCTGCTAAATTGTTATTGAATAGGTAAAAGAGATACAAGAAGATATAGAGAAACTACAAAGCCAGAAAATGTGGGACGCCAAAAAGGTATGTCTTCAGCATTGCCACAGATTTACTGGCTTGTAGAGCTGAGACTATTCATGTAGTTGTTGATAATTATTAATAAGGAATTGAAAATGACAAGTAGATATCCCTCACTGCTATCCATTTCATTTTCATTAAATTAAACTCCTAATGGCATTACACTAATTCAAATCTGTTTTCTCCTCAAGTCAGTTTTTTTAAAGAATTTTTAAAGAACATTGTTTTATGTGGCATTATTTTAGTAAATTTTTTTTTAACTGAGCTGAGTTTTTCAGGCTCTATTTCAAAACAAAGGTATAGTGATTGTATTATATCTGTGTTACTCATTAGTAAACGTATTTACTTTCAGTCCATGGCAGTAAACCGGCTTGCAGCTGCCCACCGTGGGGCACTCAGGGCACTGCAGGCTGTTGTCCATCAGCTTTCAGGTCTATCCCACAGCAAGCTACCCCCTCATTACAAAGAGCTGTGTCAGCTGATTCGCCAGCTCTCGTTGTGCTCTGCAAAGGTTGAAATGGACCAGGGTTCAGCTGTGCCTGCGACAGCCCTCAACATCCTGCAGAAACTAGAGGTGAGGAGCCGCGAGTACAATTAGAAAGTATTTGGTTAATAATATGAAGTTTCACAGGGGAAGATACAAAGTGCAAAGTGTTTGCTGTTGTTTATAGGTGACAGACTAATGGCTGTAGTTGACCACCTAGTAAAAAGGGATCACTGTACTTTTTCCAGTGACCTCCAAAATTGTAAATTGATGAGGGATTAATCTGATGTTGATGCAAACACCCTCAAACTAAAGCTGAGAGTCAGAACTTAACTTATATTAATTTGTTTCATTTCATTTTAGTTCTTTATGTCTAAACTGCATGTGACTCTGTGCATATTACTCTGTGTTTGTTATAAATGACCCTTTGTTATGTTGTTCATTTTTGACAGTATGGTAAACTGAAAAAAAATTTGTGTTGTTGTGCTCTATTTGAATAAATGTATGTAAATGCATAGCATATTTTATGTAGGTGTTCTCTCTGTTTTTAAGTGAATAATCCAAGTTTTCAATGTATTGCCACCTTGTTTCTCTTAGATTTTGGATTCAGCACTCAGTAAACAAGAGAAGCTTGAAAAGATGCATGCCTGTCCTCAACACATAAAGTCTCCTCATCGCAGCATGCCACCTGCAGGTGCACAGAAGGGTCCTCGCAAACTGTCAAATTTCAGAAGAGGTGTTCATGGTGGGTGTTTTCCTTGTCTGGATTAGTTGGCATGTTTCACAACCTTTACTACTCCTTAGTAAGCCATTTGTATGTGTATTACTTTGTAGTTTTCTGCTCTGCTTCTAACTGTCTGCACATCATACACTTGAAAACCTCAGAAAGTTAAAAGAGATGCCCAATTTTCCTTCATAATTTAAGACAGCCTACTTGCTGCCAAAGCCTCTGAGATCTCAATAAAGTGTGTGTATGTCTTTTGTCAAATGACAAACCGTTTTGTGTCTCTGTATCTGGAATTCATGTAAAGGCTGTTGTGTGGTTGAAGTTGGGCTTCCCACTGTGCCTAAATGGATACAACTAGGCTGATAATGGATAAGGAGCCATGAAGGAGTAATAGAAAACAGGAACTGAAGTGCAAAACTCTGGCCTTTAGTCCCCCGTGGCTTAGTCTTATGAGCAGTTAACTCCTGCTGGCTCCTGCCGGGCTGAGAGGCATCCTGTGGAAGAGAAGACACAAACACGTACAATGAGCTTGAGCTGCAATCTAGATCTCCCTGGAAACAAACATCTTTACTGCGTTACTTGGGTCCCTGTGCCACTTATCCAGCCCTCAGTAGGGATCCAACTGGTTGTTAAGAGTGCCAGCTAATTGTCTTAATTGGTGGTTCCAGATGGATTTGCTTGTGTTTATTAGAGATGAAGAAGAGTAGTTTGTTGTTGCTATAGCTGTTATATAACTTCTACTTAAGTAGGATTCAACCAGTTCAAATTAAAACAAGTAAAAAGTTTTATTTTTCATCTGTGTCTGCAGGTAGGAGAATGCCCCCACAGAAGTCCCAGACTGCTTCTCACCCATCCATAAAAAGAAGAGAGGTGCTGAAAGCTGCCTTGGAGCGCCTCACCCAGCAGAGGGAGATGCTAGAGCTTCAGGGACGACCTGCCTGCAGAAATGAACTGTACTCTGAGAGGAGAAAGGCGGACATGATATTGAAGGTGTTGGCTTGACCTGTACAAAGTTGAATACTGATTTGAATATGTTAAAGAAACAAAACACCAGAAGTGCTTTATATTGTATTGGAGTAAATGTATGCTCTATGTAGTGTAATTAAGGCTGTGTTTAAATACACTGTGAAATGGCAGGTGTGTCGAAGGTGAAAACTCTAAACACATAGTTTGTCATTTTATTTTCATAGTCTAATGAGGTGCAAGATGCAGGTTTCCAGCAGCCTACAGTCTCCTCTCAGCTCAGAGTGAACCAGCTCCCTCAAAAAGAGCACTCTGTGCCCTGGATACCCACATCTCCTCACTCTCCTCCTCCACAGCGGTGAGCCGTTTATCTCTTTGCACAGCTGGTGACCCTTTTGATTTTTAAAATCATCACTTTTTATTGTTCTCCAGTGCTTTTACTCTAATCAGTCTCAATTTAATTCACACTGGATGATTCATATCTTTACATAACAAAAGTTACAATGCTGTAATGTCTGAAACTCTAATCTCAGGGTAACAGTTTGCATCCAGTGTGAGTCTGTGTGTCTGCTCATTAATGCATTTGTAATTCATGTGCACTTGACACACTAAAATATAAAAATAGAGAAAAACTGGGAGAGGTTGGGAGAGATCTGTCTAGAAAGATGTTCACTTTTTAGCCAGAATGTGCACATGAGCGGGCTCATCAGCTGCCAGACTAATAGCTTATCTTCACTGGCTGATTGGAGGTCTTGTCAAATTGTTATACCCAAATATATCATTCCTCTGCTATGAAACGCAACAGAGCCCCTCAGAGAGGGAGACCAGAGCCCCGTTGTCTCTTCCCTCCAGTGAAGTCCTCACTGAGCCCTCCAAAGCAGAAGGGGGCTGGTGATGTGGGAGCAGAGCTGGCCTTGAACTCAGAAAAGAAGAAACACGCTCAGGATGAAGCATTAAGGTGAAACCCACCTCCTACAATGATTTTATCTCTTTTACATATTCTATATTTCAGAGTGAATAATTATGGCTTCTCAGATTAGTCATTGCTGGATTTGTGTTATTTCTACTTCACAAAAAGTGAAATGGATGAAATCTAGGGAAAATGAATGTCATTGAGTCCCCACTCAGTATTCACTGAGTTATTTCTAACCTCTTTGTCAGACCCCACCAGCTGAGAGCCACAGGCAATACTCTGATTCTAATTCAAAGTTAATTCTTTCCAATAAATTAATCTAGGTGCCAGCTAGACTGAGGCCATTTCTCTTTGAGGGATTTATAGCTGACATGTTTTCCGTGCTCATAAGCAGCTCATTGATCGAGTGTTTTGCATATGTCTCTATTTAATCAAATCTTAATGACTACAAATGTGCTTTCCAATTAATCAGTGGCTAGGCTTGAGTTTACAGATGAGGGTCATATGACATTGATGTGAAATGCTTAATTGAGCTTGCATTTTGCTTCATTTGATGATTACTGGCTTGGTACAGGAAAGCCTGGCTGGATAAGGTGACGATGCAGAGACTGAAAGCTCTCAACCAGCTGAGCAAAGAAGAGGCTGAACGCATTCAGAGGTTAAGGTACAGTAGTAATACTATAATATACTTAGCATTGTAACAGGCAGAATGGATCAGAGGAGCCTGAAGGTGGTCATTATGTAGTATCAATTGTTGGATATTGATCCTGGCAATTAACTTGGTGTTTTTATTTTCATTTGTAGCCAAACTGCAACCTATGTAGACACCAACAATAAGTGCCAAGCTCTGTTAAACGTGTGCTGACAATTACAGCAGCTGAAACAAAATGATGCCCACAATTGCTGCCTAATGAGAAAAATTAAAGTTTCATAGGGACAGGATAGGTTTAGGTTTAGGTTTAGAACTCTCATGAGGGGCCCTGTGACCTGTATAGACATTTGCTGTTAAGGTTATTTAAGAAGAGGCTCCCCAGCAACAGTACCACTTGTAATAAAACACAACAATGTTGCTGTCAAGCCAAGGCGGTAATCTTCTGCACTCCCCAGTGCAGCTGGCTTTCCACTTTAATGAACAGTTACACTGGGAATAGCAACATTGGCGTAATTACCTACAAACAGTAGAACAAAAAATAATTCAGGTTGTGATTGCAGCTACATCCCCTTAGCACCAGATAGTATGTTCCTATAGATCACTTCACATTTTCTATTTAGTCACTGGACAGTTTAACTTTGCAAGGCCAGCAATAAAACACAACATGTTTGAGTCAGCATGTGGTTCCTAAAGGTTTACTTACATCAGCAGCTGAGCACGTTCAATCTTTATGCTTCTCTTTTCACACACAAAGTCACAGCCAATAAGCCTGATACTCTTTTACTCACCTAAAAATGTTTCTCCACCTTAGCAAGTCTGACATGTCACAGCAGGGAAAACAAGTATAATCAATAACGTTAAATTGTAATAGCTGTGTCCCACTTTGCTTTGCACATTCCATTGCCTCTGGAAACTCATGCATAATGGGATACTGGGACATTTGAGTGGAGCCACACCATCATTAATGTTAAATGCACCTGGGCATTTCTTGCCTTGACCAGGTAAAATGTATTGGGCCTATATGTTCCACCTACGGCTTTTTAATTTGCCATTGTCACAGCTATTCCATGAACTTAGAACAATAAACTACAAGTTAAATAGTTTACACAAAAAATACTAGCTGCCAAAAGCATCAAACAAAGTTCACTATATGTTCACAAGGATTTCCTCTATGGAGAGTGGTGGTGGTTTGACAGGTCTGGCCTTGTTCAGTCACAGTAAGTATGTTTATTCCAAGAGAAATATAGCTTGAAACTACTGTATCTTGTGTGAATCCCACTGTACGTGAAAACCAGTTGAAATGCCTTCTGAAACGAGTGACTCAGAACTTTATCAGTAATGTCACTGGCCTAATAGACATCACATGGCTAGTTGTTGGAACATTCTAATTTAAAATGCTTTTTTTGGGTCCAAAAAATTCTTACATTTAAGCTATTGCTCAGACTCCAAGGTGAGTTAAAGTTTGATCCATTCTATAAATTTCTTAATAGCATATTTTAATCATGTTCAGTAATGCAGTTAAAACGTTCAGCCATAGAACTTCTTCTTTGACAGCCTGCAGCTTGTTTTGGTTTACAGGTCTGAAGTTGTCTCACCAACCCGGTGGGCTGAGAGAGCTGAGCAGAAGGCCAGAGAGAGAATTCAGCCACTTCTGGACGAAGCACAGGTATGAAGATACAGTACATCTCTTGACTACATAGCGCCAGGTTTTCATGTTACCCCAAAAGAACAGGAAGTCAATCAGCACATTTTTATTGACCCTTAAACATACATTAGCTACAGACACATTTTGTCTGATAAATCAAGTGAAAATTGGAGAGGATGTGGAGTCTCTCCACTGTCCTTCCCCCGACAATGACAGTCTGCTGCCTACAGCCTTTCTCTTGTTATTTCAGCTTCCCTACCCTGTGTTCTCAAAATCAGGTCTGTAAATTAGCCCTTCCTGCCACCTAGCAAACGAAGTAAGAAGTGTTTTTCAAACTCAAAGTAGTCATTTCAAACAGCTGGCCATGGAGGAGCTCTCAGCAGCTAAAGATCCAGACCAAGGAGGTCACGTTCTTTGGCGACAGAGAGGGCAGGACAAAGAAAGAGCAAAAACCAGGGTTAACATCAGTTTGGCTCTTTGAGATGGAGTGTTAGACGCAGCCAAAGGAGTCAGATTTTATTTCGATGTGGCGTTCTTCTTTCTGGATGTGTTACTATCTAAAGCTAATGTGTTTATTTTGGTAACATTAGCAACCTACAGTAACATGGTATGGTTTTATCTTTGTATTGAATGATTATGATTTTGAGTAAATCAAGCATTGTTTCACATTAGTGCTTTGTGGCACATTAGTAGTAACTAGAGCATTCTACTGGACTGACAAATTTACTCATTAGTCAGCTAACACTAGCTTTAGACTAGAGGCTGCATTTTGTAAAATGTGTCACAGCCAGACATCCATAGTTCATGTTGTTACTAGGAGACAGGACTTGTGGGAGGGACACAGAGTGGTTAGGAATGGCTTATGGTGTCTGTGTGTTTTGAGTCTCACTAGACCCTCTGGGTTGAAATGAAATGAGGTCAGGTGACTTTAGAATAAAAATGGAGCATGTACTGTATTTAGCCACAGATTTGCCAGATTGTTTTATGGACTAAGCAGAAGTTAAAGACATTTACTTTGGACTGAAGGTACTGAGTTAGTTTTTTCCTTTGTACCTCAGCAGATTGGCGAGTCCAGGAACAGGATCAGTTCCTCACTGAAGGCTCGGCTGTCTGAGCAGGCTGCACAGAGGGTGAGCTGTGCTGCTGTTGCAAGTAATTCACAGGAGAGCAGACAGTTGGTCTTGCTCTTAAATAAGGTTTTAACTTTGTAACATGGCCAACATTAAACAGCAAAAGCTGAACAACCATACTGTTAAGCTCAATAGACTTTTTTTTATGAATGTTGTCGTCCACAGGCAGCAGAGAGCGCCGAGCAGCTGAGCGAGGCCCTGCTGGAAGATTTGTTGGAGGACACTGCAGCGGCAGTGTGGGCAGCTGAAACAAACAGAGAGTTTGAGGGAGAGGCCCAGCGTAGGCTGCACGCCCCCACTCTGGAGAGTATGCTGCTTCGTGTGGACGAGATACAGGTAAGAGCTGCCCTACAGACACGTCCTCCAGCTAAAGGTCACTGTCTAAAGCGAAAGGTCACCAGCGATCGGCTTGTTATTTATAGTGAGCTGTTATGGCAGCTCTAGGCTGGTGTTGCTTATCGGTGCAGTGTCTACACATCATTTTGATGTTCAGCCTGTTTGCTGTGGCTCCCTGCTGGCATGTGGATGATGTGTGTATCATTGTTTATCTCTGTGTGTGCCTGAGCAGAGGGACCAGGAGGACGTGAGGAGACGGTTTACTTCTATCACCTATTCGGACCCACTTTACTGGGACCAGCCTCGAGTGGCAGGTACACAAAGCTAAATATTAAAACAAAAACACTCCTGTCTTAACACCTCTGTGCAGCGAAAATGATTTCCCTGTCTCCTGTAGATGGAGACAGTGCTACAGCTGACAAGATGGTGTCAATACTCAGTTGTTTTACTCCTTAGTTTTCTGTCTCTGGCTCCGCCCCGCTCCATCCCTCTCAACACCTAATACCACTGCCCCTTCCTCTGCTTTCTCTCTGCTCTACCGAGGACCCCTGTGTAGTGCCGTGGGTTCCAGGCCGTCTTCTCCTCAGCCAATTAAGCTCACAAGACCAGTAATGAAGCAGACCTCCGCAGCTGAAATTGTCCTAGAAAAACCCATGGAGACTGGGTGGGTTACTATGTCCTTCACCTCGTTTTGCCTTCAAATCATTTCTATTCCTCATCTTTTGCTAATGACTCCCTTCCTTGCTGGTTTATTCACTTTAAAGAAACTGTAAGGAAATTTGAGTGTTCCCAGAATAATAACTGAAGTGCAGTAACAAGGTTGGCTCTGTTTCCTTCCCAAACATTGGAGCTTAACATAGGTTTTAGCCTCCATTCATTCCATCATTATGACTCCAGCACAATACTAATGATTGCATAAAATATGATATATCGAAATAGTGTGTTGTGATTAAATGTATCAAATTGCAGTTAAAGACTTCCTGCAGTTGGAACTAAGGAAGTCATTCACTTCTAGACTAGTCACGTCTCAAAACTCGATGAAAAAGTGGTTAATGTTTTTCCAATGATGCATAGTTTGTGTTTTTTCTTGCATAACATATCGCTGCCCTATAATCACTCTCCCACTGGGAGTCCTTACTCATTCTACAAAACTCACTTGGTGACTACTGTACCCAGGGCAGAGTCTATTCCTGACCCTCTACTGACCAGGCCTTTGGATGCAACTGCTTGACAGCTTGGAAGGACGAGAGAAGAGAGTGGGAGGACTAGAAGCTGTTGACACAGAGAAGGGAATAGGATGCTGCTTCTGACCAATTCAAGCAGCGGCCAATAGCAAATTAAAGTCAGGCAGACTTGGAGTACCTCAGGTCCAGTTCTCTCACTGGAAACTTTGCCCTGAATCCACTGTGCCTGTGACACGTTCGACTTCTTAATGCATCATCAAGTAACACATTCAAGTACTCTCTTTAGCGTCTAGTCTTTTTAAAGAAGTGTTATGTTGTCATTATTTGTTCTTCTGAGGTATCCAGCCTTGCAGCAGCAGCTTAACAGGGTCGAAGTCATTTTAGAACTGAGGCTCTTTGTTCTGAAACTCCTTGAATCTGTGTAGCTGAAACCAGACAGACCTCCCAGCTTTGCTTTTACCTGGAGTCCAAATTACAGTACCCTTACAAAGTACTGACAACTGCTGGACCTTTTCATGCTTTTGTTTTAACACATTGAGTCACTGTGGATGCAATTAGGATTTTAAAGTGAAAATTAAGCTTCACAAATTGGCAGAGAGCAGCGCTTTTTCCACAGTACTTAATCCCCCAAGAAATAATGAAGCTGTAAGTAGGGAATCATTTGGTGTGAGATAGAAAGTGAAATTGCATTTATTAGGCATGATGTTTTATCTAGCTGCCTTTTGGGGCCAAGAAGTTGTTTTGTAAACTGACTGGAGCTGAAAGGGAGTGAGTGGGCTACCTGTGCTGTGGGCTTCGGTGTCCCAGCTAACACATTTTGCAGCACATAACAGAGGAGATGAAGGGAAGAAAAGTTTTGTTTACAGAATCCTGTGGCTTGTTGCATTGGCATGACTGAAGCAAAAACACACCTAATACATCGCCAACCACAGTTACAACCAACCTAAACCTGCTGCAGTCTGCACATTGAATTCAGCTAATATTAATGTGATTTTCTTCACTTAAGTCAAAATGTGTAGGTCTTTAACTGTAGTCTCACAGCAGTCCTTGCTATGAAATGACATTTGACAGTCTCGCCAAAGGCAGTGATAATGTTTTGCCAGCGTTTGCTTGTTGGTTTGTTAACAACAAAAGCTCAAACAGTAATGACTGGATTTGGTGAAAATTTTTGGAGCGCTAGGGCATGGCCCACAAAACACTTGGTTAGGTTTTGGTGCTGATCCCGATTCCCATCTGGATCCAGGAATCTTTTAAAACGAGTCTTGAGCATTGTGAGTGCTCTTGACTGTATGTGAGCCCCCTTGTGGTGAAAGTCACAGCTGCACTGCTGAGTACTTCAAGCACATACAGAGACAAATCCCTAGGCCAGTGAGAGCTGCTCATTCACTGTCAATGGAAACTGAGCATAATTCTCCAGGTAATGAAAAATGTTGTTCTAATAAAAACTTGGCGGGTATTCTAACCTGCAGACAGCTTCAGTTAGACCAGACATTTGTATACCTGCCAACAGTTCAGATAATGAATACATATGTGCTGTAACCAGCAAAGTAAGCTGAGCTTTACTTTAGAGAGAGAACAGAGGAATATTGATAACTATGCTGAAATTCTGCTTTCATGTTGCTTAAACAGCAATATTTGCATCAGTTCCTATGGAATAAAGTAGCCTAAAAATGGTTTGTACTTGCCCTGGTGTGGGACTGTTCTAGTGTTCAGGGTAGCAGAACGGCGAGGTTTAGTTTGGGGCTTTGGAACAACAAAATGTGCAAAGAGCTTATTATGGTTAGTTGTTTATGACCCACGTTTCTCAGCTCGGAGAGACACACTTGGCTCTGTCATCAGCAGAAAAACAGCCATGCATGTTGCCTTGTGCCACACGCACATTTAAGCACACGAACGAAGAAAACAGCATGGCAGTGACTGACACAAGCAGATACAGGCTTCTTTGATTCTCTTGCTTGATGACTAAGAGTGAAACCATCAGACTGTTATTGGTTATGGCTTTCATGATTTTTCCTTGTAGATGCTGTTTTTGAGACATGATTGGGGAATGCAACAAGAATTGCTCTCAGCTGATTTGGATAATATGAAACAAAACCGATCTCTTTGTTGTTGGATGTGCTCAGGCAGTAAGTTGTGGCTGCTTTTCAGACATGACTTCCAGTGTCAAGGCCCATCAGAAGTGAGGACCTGATGTTTACATTATGCCAATATTTTCCACTTCATTTATCCTCCACCAGACGCAGAAGCTGTCACTGCCCTCTTGAAAGCCATTTCCAAAACAGCATCAGTCAGTCGTTACCTCTGTCTTGTCTCTCTGTTGTGCTTGTGTTTGTGCTATCAAACGACCACTAAGACAACGGAGAGAGAGATTTCATCTTTGAATAGATTAGCAGAGCAGCAGTTAAGATTTATGTATCCATGGTGAGGAGCCCAGACACAGACCCTGCTGCCGCTCCATCAGCGGGTCAAACAAATCAATGAAAAGATGAAAGCTCCACTCAGCAATATTCCATACCTTTGACGTATGTTTTCCTTCTTGTTTTTAATCTGCTGACTCTCGTGCTTCATTGTTTGGCCAAGTGCTTCACAGCACCTGGGTATGTGGCTTCTATCCTCTGCTTCCAGTCTTTACCTTAGATTCACAGTGACACAAACTCCAACTGATTGATTCAAAATCAAGAGATTCATTCTCTTTAAGTATATAAAAGACTTCTGGCTAAACAAGAAAACTGCAACAGTCTATACATTTTACACTGTTTCCCTGCTCTTCACATCAGCTCACTAGGGCTTCTGTGAATCTCTCGAATCACCCCCAGCACGTTTGTCTTCGTACAGCCCAGCTTTATTGCATATGGCACCATCCTTTATCAGGGCCTCCCTCAAGACAAACTTGAAGGTCCCTTGAATTGATCTTGCTAATTGCTGATGTTGCTCATCTGTTTTAGTTATGTGTTGTGCAGCCCAAGTTGTGGGTGGGTGGGTGTGATGGTAGTGGATGTTTTTTAGTGATTCAGCTCATTTCCCCTGTCAGTCACCGCCCATACACGCAGACAGCCTTGTGAACACACAGATTAGCTGAATTAATCACTGTAGATGCCACAGTTGGTCCTTGTCAAGGGGACTAGAATGACCAGTAACGCAGTATTCCTTGTAGTATTTTTTAATTACTCATATCACCTGTTCACAGATAAATTAATATTATATAAATAAATATTAGATTTATCTTCACCGCCCATACACGCAGACAGCCTTGTGAACACACAGATTAGCTGAATTAATCACTGTAGATGCCACAGTTGGTCCTTGTCAAGGGGACTAGAATGACCAGTAACGCAGTATTCCTTGTAGTATTTTTTAATTACTCATATCACCTGTTCACAGATAAATTAATATTATATAAATAAATATTAGATTAATCTTCTCCTTGGAGAAGACCTTTTGTACCAAAATGTGTTTGTTGATAGAAAAGGCAGGCTGGTCCCTGTTCAGTTTTGAATGCGCCACAGAGGGTGTGGGTTCTATTCTGACTTTGTATATAGGCAGTGAATTTGTTGTGTTGTTTCACCACAGTGGCCCTCAGATGCCCATCAGACAGTAAATTGACCTATTTCGGACTGGAAGCAGAGTCGGCTGTCCTGCCACTTTGATATTTATGGCCACCCCCCCGTTTGCAGTCCCCCCAAGAACAGAACTGCTGTGATTCTAAATATAGCACAGAGAGTGCCGTCGCCAGAGCCAGGCTGATTTGTCCAAGCTGGGCGAATTATAAAGGCAGACGGTGACCCAGCTGAGCCCCTACTCACTCTGAGCGAGGAGAAGATGAGAGAGCCGGCCTGCGCTCTGACACCTCTCCTAAATTCAGCATCCTCAGCCTCACACTGGGCACAGCAAATATTCTTGTTCAAACACAGCACCGCACTCCATTCTGACTCCTTCTTCAGTAAATGAGTTTGCCTCTTCTCCACAGTTGCAGCCTCAGGAAGCCTGCTACTCAGTTCATGCACTGTGAACAGTCAGGGCAATGAAAAGGTGCAGTGTCTCTGTACGTGAGCATCCTCTTGTGTTTCCTCAGTATCGTCTCTGAGAACAGCCTGACAGAGGAAGGGTCCCAAGAGGAGCAGCAGCCCAGAAGCAGCACCGTGTTCCCAGGCCCTGTTGAAAGAAGCAGAGGGACTCTTATCTCCGTGCCAGGCAGCATGCTGAGAAACATCCGGCGGTACCGGGAAGACTATGCGGCCTACCTGCGTGCCGTGGCTCATGAGGCTATAGGCGGTTTCAATCCCTGGGCCATCGCTGACAGGTAAAACATGTCACAGCAAAGCCAACAATTAGGCAAGGCAGGTTTATTTATATAGCACATTTTCATACACAAAAGCAATTCAAAGTGCTTAGCACAATGCACACAGATAGATAAAACATCCATCCATACATTATTTATACTGCTTATCCTGAAGAGGGTCCTGGGGAGCTGGAGCCTGTCCCAGCTGACATTGGGCGAGAGGTGGGGTACACCCTGGACAGGTCACCAGTGCATTGCAGGTCTGACACTTAGAGACATTTGTGAGAGCTTAAGTAAAGATTTCCTAACATCTTGCTTTGCCTCTGGCTGGCAGTATCTGTAGTTAAACAGAAAATCAAACTGAATAATCGTTCTCTGTTTCTGAAGTTTTGTAAAACTACTGTTTCTACTATATATCAGAAGTAACCAGAGCCACACTGAACCAATATGCCCTTGGTTTTTTCCCAGACGTGTTTGGCAGCAGTGCTCGACAGGATTGTGCAGAGTTCATGGTTTGCATAGTGAGTCTCTGGTGTTCACCGTTGTCCTTCTCTCCCACTCACACATTTGCATACTTAACAGAATACTTAAGCTGGTGCAATGCAGAAAGCCTCCTAGTGAATGTGAACACTGAATGTGTGTGACAGATACTGTATATCATATCTAAAGTTCTAAAAGATAGACTTCCACTCTTTCTTTTGTGTTTCTCCCTGTGCATCATAGACATGCGTTGGATCGATCTTTTTTTTTCTTGTGTTCCATGTTGAAAGACTGTTGCCTGGTCTTGCCCTTGGGATTTGACTCTGTGTGTCACTGGCTCATTATCAGGATCACATTTATGAACTGAGTTTTTCAGTAGATGGATCTGTGCTTTTCTGAATCTCAGTGTTTTCGGAGAGAGAACACATACAAAGTCTTGTACACAAACCTGAAGGAGTCACACCACCTGGAGGATCTCATTCATTCTGTCTGCCAACAGACTGACTGCAAAACAGCAGCATAGTCCAGAACCAGTATACATACTTAATGCTATTTTAAGCTTTGTTTGAATTTCTTTGATACATTTTTCATACTGACAGTTGTGTATGGAAGACAAAGTAGCATCATAAATCAGTGGCTGGATGAACTTAACACTTTACACGCATCTTCTTCATAGATTCATATCAAGCTTGTGCTGTGCGATGATTTGTGCATATTAAATCAGAGCTCATTTAGTTTTACTGGTGGGATTTCATCATATTTTGATCATTAAATATATGTCATTCGGCAGAGCTGGCATGGCTTTTAGCATTAGTGTTATTAAGTAAAATGTCCAAATATCTGTTCCCAGTGCACGACGGCAGACCCTTCACTGTGTATCCAGTGTTGTGAACAACGTTGTCTTGCACTGACTCTTCAAAGGTGCTCTGTTGTGACAACCTAATGATTAGATGTTTCTGAGGCTCTGTACGAGTGAACACTGCTTGTCCACTGTGTCCCTGCCTTAGTCTGTTTGTGTGTATTGACCCAGATAATGATCACAACACTGAAATGTAACTTGGTTCTGCGCCCCACTTACCAGTCTTTGAGTTATTTGTGCCTTGTCAGTTTTTCATGTCCAACTTTGGAAGTCAGTAGACACACTGTTAGGAAGAACCTGCTTTTAATTGCACCTTCTACATGTGTTTACATAAAATGACACATGGCTGAAAAGTCACATTTTCTTTAGGAAATCTTAGGAAATGGCCTGTAATGGTGCTGTTTTTATAAGGCTACACATTTATTGATCCCTTTGAATGAAGTTATTGTAAAAAGGTTTTTAAAAAACTCTGCAGTATGTTTTTGAGAAAAGTCCACCTAACCCGTTTCTTTCTGATATCTCTGCCCCTTGTTATCCCCCAGCCTGGCAGATGAGTTACTGTCCGAAGCTCTGGCTGACGTGGCAGCAGAGTTCCAGGATGTTGTGGAGGAGTACGCCGAGGCCGTCTTCACCTCTGAGTTTCTCCAGCCGGTCCAGTCTGGTCCTCCTGCAGCGTTGGTTATCCAGTAGCATTTACAGCATCGTGGATGTAGCAGTGTGTTGCAGATTACTATAATATGTATTTATTTTAGTGAAAAATCAGCCTTTTCAGGCCAGGTTGATTTTTGTTGAGCAAGAGCTACAGGACGTTTCTATAGGCTCTGCAGATTTTATGACAGGATATTTTGTTTTTATTTTGTTAAAGATCTGGAAAGGTTTTTATAGCTCATTACTTTGATGTGACAACATATGATTTTATTTAATTGAGATTGTAGGTTTTTTTTTAATACAGCTGCAGCAGATGAGATTGTTGCATTGCACAGGGAGAATAAGCCACATTACTCTTTATGGTCCACATGAATTCAGCTGGGAAAGTTAGACTAGTTTAGATAAGCTTGAAGACACTATTATGACATTACAGTGGATTATAAGATTACTGTCTTCCCCTTGCACTTGGTTTAAAGCTCCATGAGGATTGCTCACACTTTCTGTTTTCATGTTATTATATGGAAATTGTATATGTTCCTCAGCTTATCATATGCCACCATGTTTGTTTTGTAATTTGCTGTAATTTCTAAATAAAGGGGCTAAACACAGGAAGGGACTTTATTTCCACTCATTAGTTGATGTGTTATCTCAGTATATTATGTCCACTGTGATGAGATGGCATACCACAAAAGAACAAGTAATGTGTGGGGACAAGATGCTAATCTAATTTTTAAAGTGGTTTAGCACCACTTTATAATGATCTGTTCAGTGATTTTCTTTTAACAAAATATGGCCTAGCCCTAATGAAACGTGACAATTCTGAATCCAAAGTAAAAAGGACACATTTTGTAGAGGAATAAAATATCTGGGTCCCTTGAGAGCAACATGATAGCTGTGCAGACAGAGCAAGGGGACACATCCAGATGTGGTGGCCCGTGGAGACCAGCCTGTGACAGGGGACACGCAGTACAGTGGCTGAATGAATTAGCTCACATTGAATCAGCTGCCGCTGTTTCCTGTCAGACTGTGTGGGCGTCTCAATACGTGCTGGTTTCCACAGGGTTGAGCACATGGCGAATTTCCTCTTTTCAATCTAGGACAAATAGAAATTGGTGGGCTCAAAGCCAGGAGAGTGCTGCTGTCTGTACACTGACAGAGACATGAGCTTGGCCTGACATTTATATTAAACACACTCCTGTGTTCTTTTTCAAGAGCTAATTGCTAATTAATTTTCTTTGTTATGACTGAGACAGTTTAAATGTATCCAGCAAGAAACGCTTAAAAGTAGAAGCAGAATATACTTCAATTTCTACCACCTCAGCAGACACACTCAGCACTCCACTGTCAGCAAAATATAGACCAGTGAAATCAGTTCCACTCTGCTATTAACTCTCAAATATCTCTGTGTATGGACAGCGAACATTGTAGTAATACTATAATGTCTCAGGTCATGCAAGTACATCAAGGCTGCTTTGTGACATTTGGGTTGCTTTTAAAACATTTTCATCTGACCCTCGGCCCTTACATCTTATGCTTACTAGTCATATTTTCTGTTCTCCAGGGACACTCTTGGAACTGAGGTGTCCGAGGGATGATTTCTGCTGAGACACTGGTCTTTACAGAGGGATCTCTGATGCGAATACTGCTACTCTTTGCATTTTACATGGAGCATTTGCCATTGCGAGTTCCTTTTTGTGAGATTATTTTAATTTGAAGCTTCATTTGCTGTCACATCTTATGAAGCACTTGTGGCTGAAGGGCAGCTTTTGACTGTCTGTGTCATTAATTTAGTCACGCTGCTAGTTATGGAGTTATTGTCTGAAACAAATAAAGAAGCACAGTCACTGCAGAGAGCCAGCTACACTCACACTGATGGATTATGAGCCTGAAAAGATGATCTGCCAACTTCAAAGCAGAGTCTGAATACAGTAGAGTTTTTATGTAGAAAAGAGCCTCGGTTGTAGGTTTAACGACTAGTGATCAAAGCCACATGCTTCTTGGTAATCATACCGAATGGAAATGGAATCAAAGGAAATGTTACAAAAACAGTCTTTGATATCATGTTTGATGAAAGCATAGAAGTAGCAATAACACAATGTAAAAATAGTTCTAAGTAATAATCCTGTATTTTAATTTAAACTAGAATTACTGCTCCTCTGCCAAACAGCCAAATTCATGGGAATGGGACAGACGTGAGGTCACCGTGACCTTGAACTTTGACTGCCAAAATATAATCAGTTCATCCATGAATCCAAGTGACCACTTATGCCGAATTTGAAGACATTTCCTCAAGCTGTTCCAGATACAGTATATCGCATTCACAAGATTGGGACAGACAGACAGACAACCATAATGCCTTCAGCCGTGGCTATCACTGCCGCAGAGGCATTAAAACACTGTAATTAAGCACTTGAGTAAATTTGCATTCATAACACTCTTGTGCTTGATGTTACTATCAAAAAATGTACAAATTAAATGTAAAAATCAGGCTAAATATTCAAGAATTCAAGCATAGTAAGGTCAATTTGTTACACTATAAGTGTAGTGAAATGCAGAGTGGTGCTCTGATGTGTTAAAAGTCTAGTTGGACTACTATGAAATATTAAGGAAACATAGGGACATAAATTCTAAATATATGATTAAAAAGTTCCTATTTCCTCATATGTGGTGCAGTGTGCAGGGGAGTGCAGCTGAAGACAATGTGCCGAGGATGATACTGAGCTCAGAGGATGGAGTTCACCATCCTGATGGCCCGAGGAAAGATGCTTCATACCAGTGGATCATTCATATCAGTATCTTCATCTTTATCGTTGCATAGAAGTGAACTTTTTTCTAGCAGGGACAAAATCATTTTGTGGCTTACTGTAATATATCTGACCCAGCGGAGCATTTCTTTCTCCATAACGTGAAGAAATGCCAGTCAACTATCTCACTGCGTTTAGGAGTTCTGTGACACAAAGGCTGAGGAATTCTTTTGTAAGAATTGATATATTTTTAAAGCCAGAAATCACAGAGCTTTTTGTTCAGTACCATTCACTCAGCTAAGTTGTAAATTGTGCTTTTCCGCCCACAGTGACTGAATCATTTTCTCAGACAGGAAACAACAGACCTGTACCTTAAGGTGCTAAATTCAGTTTGCTGACTGCCAAGTGTAGTATTTTGTGACTTTTAAAAAGACTTGTATTGCTGAAACACTCTCCAAAAGCCACACAGTGGTTATATATCATCATAAGCATCCTTACACATGACTTTCAGCGTGCCTGTTTGGTCAGCGTCCGAGGTCACAGTGAATTTGAGCTGCGCGCACTCTAAATCACCAGTAATCAATACTCTGGATTAGTTTGTTCTTTTTGTCAAATATTTCTTACTTCATTCAGTAAATCTTTTGTCCCACTTAGAACCAGTCCATGCAGCCATTTGGTGTATTCAGTGATATCTGTCCTGCTGGCTTCCAGGCCTCAGGGCTTTCCCCAGTCAGCTTTTCTTAGTGGGATCTCAGCTCAGTGTTCTGGCCCAGAAGTGTATTGTCAGTGGTTTTCATGATACATACAAACTGGCAGCCACAGGCACTTTCCTGTGGGTGATGCTGCCGCCAGGCCGTCTTTATGGGACTGCGTGATTTCCTGTGTGGTCACATAAGAGCAGGAGAGGGACAAATAAAGCGGGTGTTACATTATGACCTCTTGATGCATTAAAGGGTATAATGTGCCCCATAACCTGTCTTACAGAAATTCAGGTCAAGTACTGCAGTTGAAGGTCAAGATAAGCTTGAAAATGAGGCACCCATTAAGTGAAGCATCTGTCAGATAAGAGCAGATCTCACTACCGGATTAACAGGACATAAAGCTGAGGGAACATGATTCATATGCTCATATGCTTCAGTTCTCTTTCGCGGAAGGAAGCAAAAAAGAGGTGAGAAAATACAGACGTCATGCTTAGGTTTTCATTTTGATGGTGTTGCTTGTATTTTGAGACACTTCTTGTCAAAACCTAAAAGATTTTCTTTCCTGCCTGGATGACGATCCCTACCAGACTAAGGTGACACCTGCTGCTTTAGTGATGGATGGATGACAGGGGCAGTAGTTTTCACCCCTCCATCCTTGGTTGGCACTGATTTATCATCCTCCTGCTCTTCATCTGTGTGCCTCATCTTCTCTATATCCTATTTTATGGAGTAGATGTGTAACAACCACACACTGAAGGCGTATACAGTATGACAACGGCTAGTTGTGTGATATTAGAACAGCTGTTCTCTCATTTAAATGTTAGATTCAGTGTAATTCCCATTTTATTTCTGCAGACTAATGATTCTGATTTAGTTTCCTTCTGCTGTTCATCTTCTCCATGTCCTGTTTGTCATCTTGTATGCAACAGTCAAGAGAGAAACAACAAAATTAA